CCTGCCTGTAACTCAAAAGAGTGAGACTCCTTGGTGCTGTGGGGAACATGGCAGACTAAAATCTGGAGCTGTCGACCCTTCTATCAGCTGAATTCATCTCCAACATGAAGCCTCAGCTGCTCCTAATGTCCCCCTGCATCTCTGTAAGAGCCTCTAAACCCTGACTGATTCCTGCCTGGACTCTGTTTGATGTCCAGACTACAGAGAGACTTCAGAGGTGGATGCAGGCCTGCTGTGTGTTTAATGATAATATGTAGTTCCCCATCTGTATAATAAAAACCTGTGTGTATGTGTGTGTGTGTTTACACTGCGCCGTGCTTGCATTATCATGTTTATTGGACGTTACGATGATGTTCAAACTATTACCATTACAACCTCCAGAAAAGTGCATAAAATTATGGGATGTAATAAAGTTAATGAACAAAACACCGCAGGGGGCCGGTACGGTGTGTGTTTTTATCTGTGTATATATGTGTGTGTGTGTGTGTGTGTGTACGTGTGTGCGTGTTATTGAGAGAAAGCTGCAGGTGTGTTTCTAAGAGTCGGTTTTAATGTTGCTCCAGAGGAGTCATGCTGTCGAGGGTCAGGCTGCAGATGATCTTTGTGTTCCTCATCACAGTCATCTGATCACTTTGACCACAAACAAACAAACACAATAATTTCATCTTAAACTCTATAAGTACTTTTCCTAACAGTGCTGTGAGTTTTGGCTGAGCTTGGTGGTTTTTTCTTGAGAGGATAGGTCTGAAAAAGGTAGACCATCTTACGTATACTTGAGGTTCAGTAATCAGACTCTGACTCTTACAATATCAGCTAAAAAAAGGGAACAGTATGACGGGGCTGCTCCCTTTAAATCCACTCATGCTGTGAGACTAGCAGCTTTCTTGTGATCCAAATCCTAAAAAACACAGTAAGTCTAACAGCGCCCAGAGTATCAGAACAAGGATGTAAGCTGAGCAGCAAACCTTTGGATCTGGCAGTTGATTATGGTCTTTGATAATGGCTGAAAGGATGAGATCACAGAGAACAAGGCTGAAAGGAGTTTCCGCTTAGCTCAGAAGATCCAGAGTCACCCAGAGGGAGCCTTGAGAGCTGGAAGAACCAGCTGAGATGGTTCAGGCATCTGGTTAGGGTCCTTTTGAGTATCAAACTGGGTGGGCTAGAAAGTTAAGCTGGTAGATTATGTATCCCATCAGGCTATGCACTGACTCAGGATCATCCAGGAAGAAGAGAAAAACAATGCAGTAAAAATGCATTGCTATGGATGAAGCAACAGACAGACAGACAGATGGACGGATGGATAGCTTGAAACTTTCGCAGGGCCAAGCAGTCTTTCTAAATCACAAAACACAAAGGGTTAAATGCTCCAGAAACTGCACTGCTTAGCAAACTGCCTCTCCTTTACAAACATATATTTAAGTTTTTTTTGTTTGTTTGTTTGTTTGTTTGTTTGTCTTGGAGAGGACAGGGTGGTGGATGGAGCAGGAAACAGAGAGAGGGCAAGAGAGAGTGGGGAGTGATGTGTGAGTATAAGGGGCCGCAGGCTAGAAATGAACCCAGGCTACCCACTTAAGGATGATAGCCTCTGTACATGGGGTGCATGCTTAAACTGCTGTGCTACTGGCATCCCTGTAGACGATCAAGAGACATTATACATTTATTTGGGGCAAATAAATACATAAATAAAACCGCCCTCCCTGTGCAAATTAGTTTTGTGGCAAAAAACACCAGATTCACTGACAGCGGTAATACAAGCCCCACAAAGTCAAATGAACACTGCAAGAACTGATGTTAAGTTTATCCATGTTTATTGACATTATTATGATAAATACTCATCAGGAGTTCAATCTGTGGCTTCAGATTCAGGCTGTGCCATTATCCATGATGAATTATCCCTATTTTTTTTTTCAAACTGAGACTCTTATTGCACTCAGTTCAAAAAATAAGATGTCAAAAATAAGGAAATTCGTCACATCGGTCATGAATCGACTTTCTCTCTTCATCCAGCTCATTATGAACTCAATGACCGTCAGGAAGAGAGCTCACAGAGCAGTTCTGGGCAGCAGAGGGAGGAGAGCAAACTGCATGGAGAGGACCTGTGATGTAGTTCACCACAAATACAATGATGTTATAATTTTACAGAAAGTGTTCACTGCATGTTAACTCATAAGTAAGATGTTCTTTGTTACAGAAGGAGAGAACTGCTCTGGTTGACAACTAAAAGCAGGACTTGATTCAGTCACAGGAACATGATCCCAGTCATTGATTGAATATCATGCAGTATTTAAGGACTCACAGTGGTAACCAGACTGTAGATGACAAAAATAAAAGTTTTTCCCATGAAGAATCACTGCAAATGTCCAAAGTGTTCATCCATGATGGAGACAATGATGCTAGGATGTCTGAAACTGAATCCCAAATACACATGAATGGCTCGAGTGTCACCATGTCAGCTTGTCTGTTTAGAGTTTCAGGCACAGTGGCTCTGCACACGTTTGACTGAATATAGAAACTAAACTAATAAAGACTGTACTAGTTAAACCTATCCCTAATCATAATCTTATTAAGCAGGATAATTTGGAGGTCATGCTGACTCTTGGCTTCAGCTGCAGAGTTTACAGAGTACTGCATTTTCATTATTTCCGGTAATGAGGAGGAAGTGACTGATAACACTTTTAATAACTTTATCAGACGCTGAGTGTAAAAAGGAGCTCTGCAACGCTCTGTGCAATTAGCAGTTACCAAATTAAGACAAACTGCCTCACTGTGGTGAGACGCCTCCACCTCCTGTTTTATTTTGGTTTAACTTCCTGTTTTCCTTGTTTCCCTGGTCTGGTTTTCCAGAGTATGCTCCCTCTCCCTGGTCACTAAGGCTGAGCGAGACTCCACACCTGCGCTGCATCTGCAATCAAGGCCCCTTAAGAAGCCAGCAGCCCTCAGTCTCAATACCTGAGTATTGTCTTCACTCCTGAGCGGTACAGACGCTTCTCCTGGCCTTCTCCTCGGTTTAGTGCTCGTGACTTTTGCTCCCTGTGATTCATTGTATGTCTTCTCACCTCCTTTCCTTTTGCTTTTCCACAGTGTCTCCAGCCTACACAACAGTCAGTCAGCCAACCGGCCCTTCTTGTGCCTTTTTTCCCTGTGTTCTGGACATTAAATACATCTATAACTTGCTATCTGCCTCTGAGTCTGCTTCTGGGTCCACAAAATACACCACACGCCACACTCACATAAATAACACGTCTTAATCTTTGTCATTCCACCATCTTTTACTAATTTCATGCATTTAATAATTCTGTTTGCACTTTAAAAAAGAGGTTTTCACATGGTGAGGTCTGCAGCTGCCGAGTGGGCATGTCTGAGATGACTGTTTACTGCAGGTCATTCAGCTGACACTGCAATTAGCAAATTCACACACACACACACACACTGACCATCTGGTACAAGATTGGGAAAACACCTCTACTGATGATTCGAGTCGTCTACCAGCTGTTAGGATGGCACACACACATACACACACTGACCAGCAGACATGTCTACAGGCATCATCTGACGAACCTCTGCCTCCATCCTGCAGGGACACCTGGACCAGACAGTGTCCTGCAAGCAGCAGCATTCGTGGGCCACACAACAGGAAGGGTTCTGGTCCTAATCCTTGTCCTGGAGAGAGAGGGTCTGGAGATAACGTCATGTTTTCCAAGCAGCTGGAGCAGGAATGAGGTGGGATACTACCGAGCTGGTAGAAAACAAACAGATGCTAAACGGAGAAAGGAATGAAAGTATGTGTGTGTGTTTCTGAGGAAATGAGAAGCTTTTATGTACCAGGTGGTTTCCTAGTCCCAGTGCCCTAAGTCTGCCATAAGGATGGAAACTCTCCTTTTAACAGGGGCATTTGTTTGTAATATGTGGATTAACCCCTGTTAGCCCAAGGTGCGTCTAATATATTGAGGTTATACCACAGTGGTCGGCACTGGCCTGATTCCATCCTCACCCACAGATCACTGCCCACCTGGGGTCCATTAGATACCCAATAAAGCCTTTGTCAAAACCTTGAAATCAACAACACCCGAGCCTATCAAGTCTGCTATCTGGTCTCAAGGGTCTTATGATGTACCATTATACTGTGAGTAAGGTTGCATCATGTTAATCAAGTCAGTGGTACATGGAAGAACTCTAAAGGTCAGTTTGATGATAGGCTGAATCTGCAAGGGGGTTCAAAGTGTGGCAACATGATTCCAAAGCTGAAGAGAGGGATGAAGAGAAATGCTGTTAAAAACACAACCTCCACGACAACATTGTGCATCAAATCATAACAAAATGCAAAACCTTTGACTGTCTATGGCTGGAAATAACTCCATCAATTTTGAATGCTGCTGCAGGGCTGCCACACCATAGGTGTCTGCATAGCCCTGCAAGCCTGAACCCTGACATGCACCTCCTCAAAGAAGTGACTAGGGGTCAAAACATTTGTGACAGCTCGCCATGTGATTGGTCTGCTTGGGGGGCACGGTCATTCTCAGCACTATCCCCTGTCCTCTCCATCAGTCTGTCCCTTTTGACGTCATCCCTTTTTTGCAGTAACTGCAGCATTATAAACTTCTGCACAACACATGCAGAAACAACTGATGAATTAGGCCAGTTCATAACAATCTGCATCATATCAGCATCAGCTCTCACAAAGCATTAATCTGTGACCACAAAGAAGATGTTGTTCAGTGATATCTTTACATATCTGCAGCTGCTTAGGGTGAAACTGCTTAAGGGTACCCTACAGGTAGATGTACTGCTCCTTAAGCAGAAACAAAAACATCCGGTTTATAATGAGGAATACGTTTCAGAGAGGATAGTTTTATTTTAGGGACAGGAATATGAGCAGTGCTGCCTGCTGTGATATTTTAATCATCTGGACCTTATTCCCATCAGTTTCAGGAGATTTAATTCCAGACGTGAATGAGTGAGTGAGGGCGAGTCTACATAAAGGTTTTGTGTGTCTCCTGCAGCAGTCAGACAGCACTCACCACCACACTGACAGAGATAAAAACTCGTTACAGCCCGGCCAGGCCTCTGCAGCTCGCTCCCTTTCTCTCCTATTTTCATCTTTTCGTGGCACAGTCACTCCTGCACTTGCTTCATCTTCATCAATTCATCCCCCTCCACCACTGCAGCTTGTACATCGAGCTGTCGAGGCGGGTCTGTTCGCCTGCGTCTCCGCTCCGCCGTCAGATCCCGCCGGGGGCCAGAAGGATTCCTGTGATAGCATCCTCAAAGTTGAGATGTGCTTGCACGCTGACACAAAGAGAGAGAAGGGGGGGTTGAGAGAGGGGTGAGGATGTAAGTCAGCAAAGAGAGAGTCAGGGCTCTGCAGGATGTTCAGTCATCTGTCTGATAAAAAGTGTAAAACTGCTCATCACAGCAGAATAAAAGTCCTCTCTGGTTTTTGGTGTTTTTTCAGTATTTGGACAGTAATGAAAAGCATGTAAATGAAGTTTTTTAGTTCCATCTCCTGATTTTTTACTGAAGGACGAACACATTGGGCCTGATGCTTCTTCAGAGACTTCTGTGGCTGTTCTTGAGGCTGAAAATCACTCCCTGGTCATCCCCCCCATTCACCCCCTCCTTTCTCCAGACTAATAACCGTGAGGCCGCGCTCTCATGTCAGATTCAGAGTAAAGGATTGGTGTACAGAGCAGTGTCTCTGACTGGGTCTAAGCCTCTCTGCCTGTGATCCAGCCCTCAGTCTCCTCTCGCTGTCCTCCCGCCTGGCTGAGTGGGCTAAGAGAAGCTGCTGCTCTGTCTGCAGGCTGACAGGCTGAACACCAGCTAAGTGTGGGTGTGATGTGAAGTTCAGCTTTTTGCTTGTAGAGTGCCTGACACTCACACCCCCTTTTTAACAGCCTAAGAGTGAATTCAACTCCGCCGAGTCTAACAGCAGTTCAGCCTGCAGCAGGAAGGAGAGCTGCAGAGGTTCAGCTTTCAGATTTAGAGTCTGACCTCAATCATGAAGGAGGATTTTACAGAAATAAACCTCAGACTCTTAATTAATAATGCACAAAGACAACATTCAGCTGACTCTAGTTTTTTGTTGAATGCATAAAACAACTCTGTGAGCAGAATATTATCAATAAACCCAAGAAATATACATACTTTTACCTTTGGGTCACTTCAATCAAATCAGAAATTTGATTTCAGCTGACAGACTTCTGTTTGCAACTGTTTGAATGTAAGTGCACCTTTTATCGAATATTTAAAATGTTTGACTTTTACCAATCTCTACCAGTGCATTTTAAGCCTATCTTACTGATTTGCTTTTATCCTCTTTTAATTTCTATTAAGAATTGTTGCTGTTCTGTGATTTTACAGGGATAATCTAGCATAAATTTAAGTTATGGTCAAACACACCGAAACACCAAGTTAGACACCCCCCTGAGAGATGAATGTTGCCGACTGCTTGCTTATCTAGTTATACCAACTTTAGTAACGACCGTACAATAGCAATACATAGCAGTCTACATCTCCACGCACAAACCTCAACCAAAGAATCAGAAGGGGTATCAGAATCAGAAAGGGTTTTATTGCCATTGTCGATGAACAGGATTCACAGACTAGGAGTTTGTTTTGGCATCATGGTGCAACAATAAAAAGAGAAAAATATAAAATACTGGAATAAAAACTAATAAGAGCATGCAAGAAATATATAAAGTATAAAAGTATAACAATATAAAAGCGTAAAAAGTTATGTACAATGCTATGTGCAATAAGTATAAAAGGCTTTGTACAAGTAAACAATCTAGAACAACAGTGCAGTGGAAGGAGTGCAATTAAAAAATCCAAATTACATTAAACTAAAGTGACCAGTGATAAAGTGACAGAGTTAAAGCGACTGAGTTATAAAGTGTTCATGAGTCCAACGGCAGAGGGGAAGAAACTGTTCTTATGGCGGGAGGTTCTGGTCTGAATGGACCGTAGCCTCCTGCCTGAGGGGAGTGTCTCAAATAGTCCATGTGCAGGGTGAAAAGGGTCAGCTGTGATCTGACCTGCTCGGCCCCGAGTCCTGGAGACGTACAGGTCACAGCCCACAATGCACTGCAGTCTGTTTCTGTCCCTGGCAGTGGCCCCGGCGTACCACGCCATGATGGAGGAGCTGAGGATGGACTTGATGATGGCCAGGTAGAACTGCACCATCAGCTTGACCGGCAGCTTGGCTTTCCTCAGCTGCCGTAGGAAGTACATCCTCTGCTGGGCCTTCTTGATGAGGGAGCTGATGGTTGGCTCCCACTTGAGGTCCTGGGTGATGGTGGTGCCGAGGAGGCGGTAGCAGTCCACAGTGGTGATGGGGGAGTCGGTGAGGTCGAGGGAGGGCAGGGGGGCTGTGGCTTTCCTGAAGTCCACAATCATCTCCACTGTCTTCTGGGCGTTGAGCTCTAGGTTGTTGCTGCTGCACCAGGTCACCAGCTGGTCCACCTCCATCCTGTAGGCAGACTCATCTCCATACAAAATGAGTCTGATGAGGGTGGTGTCATCCGCAAACTTGATGAGTTTTACGGAGTCATGGTTGGAGGTGAAGCAGTTGGTGTACAGGGAGAAGAGCAGAGGAGAAAGTACACAGCCCTGTGGAGATCCTGTGCTGAGAGCCCGAGTGTCTGAAACATTCTTCTCCAGCCGCACACACTGACTCCGGTCCGTCAGGAAGTCTGTGATCCACCTGCAGGTGGAGTCAGGCACATGGAGCAGGGAAAGCTTGTCCTGGAGCAAAGCTGGAAGGATGGTGTTTAATGCAGAGCTGAAGTCCACAAACAGGATCCTTGCGTAGGTTCCTGGGGAGTCCAGGTGCTGCAGGATACAGAGTTATAGTCTCTGTCTGTACACAGGGATCAGGTGAACCATGGTGTGATCTGAGATATGCACCACTCACTGTAGTGAAACAGCGATCTAATGTGTTCCCCTCTCTGGTTGGGCATGTTACAAACTGTTTGTATTTTGGTAGTTCCTGACTGAGATTTCCTTTGTTAAAATCACAGAGGATTAGAACTAAGGAGTCCGGAAAATTCCTCTCTATGCTCATAACCTGCTCCGCGAGCGCGTGCTCGGCCTTGTGCACGTCCGCGCTTGGTGGAATGTAAACAGAGCAGAGTATGAATGACACAAAACTCACGTGGAGAGTAGAACGGTTTGCAGTTTATTAAGAGATATTCCAGAGAAGGAGAACAGTATTGGGAGATCACTGTCACGTCGGAGCACCAGGCGTTGTTGATGTAGAAGCAGACTCCTCCACCTTTTGTTTTCCCACGGGAGAGAACATGATCTCTGTCTGCACGGAGGAGCTGAAACCCTCCAGTTGTATGGCGCAGTCCGGTGTCTGTGCATTTAGCCATCTCTCCGTGAAGCACAGAACACAAGATGAGGAGAAGTCTCTATTCCTCTTCATCAGCAGTGCTAGCTCATCCATCTTGTTGCTCGCTGTCTGAGACGCGGGAGCACCCAAGCTCGCTTTCCCCTTCGCCGGCGTCTCACTTTTTTGGCCCAAAAGTGGACCAGTTCAGCAGCAGATGTCAAAAAACTGGCGTGATGTCTGTGGGTGTAGTTGATCTGATGTTTAGAAGCTCCTCACGGGTGTAGGATCACGATGACACACGGTTAACACACAAAAACAGACAAAACTACGAGCACCAAAACACCAGGGCGCCTACTCCGGGCGCTACCTTGGATTGGATTGAAAGAGCTACTCTATAGCCACAAATAATGCTCAGAACAGCACTTAACTTAATCAACGGCACATATAGGGTCCCAGCCATATTACTAGCCATTAAAAAGTCTTTTTAGCTTTGTCTGAATTCTTTAGCAAAGAGACTTAACACAACTCACCCACTCTCTTCCAGCAACCACTTGTTTGTGGGGGAGCCCTGACAAGTCAATCACCAACTGCAGCAGAGTTTCGCAGCTCAAGGAAGAACATCTATGATCATTACTTCATGGAAATGCAATCAGACGCAATTCCGATGAGTAAGGCAGAAGACCTACGGCATCTGCAGGGGTCTAATTTAGATTTACAGTGTGTTTGACCATGGCTTCAATTTATGCCGGAATATCCCTTTAAATCAACTTTTGTGGATTATCTTTCAACTGCCTCTAATTTGGCAGGATCTCATTGTGAATGAGGGTTATGAACCCTTGAGAGTAAATAAAGGTTGAATGAATGGGTCTTGTGGGGGTACGTATGGGGCCGTTCTGGGCTTTTACTTTCAGCTCAATCCCTGTATGACTGCAGTGAGAGCTGTGTCCACATACTCGGCACGAACTTCAGGTTTCCTTTGTGTCACCAATCCTGATGGTGGTCTTCATGGGTCTTGAAGGACAGCTGGTGGAAGGAGAGTCTGTGGTTTAGGGCCTCGGAGTTTCAACCCTGTGGTTCTGTTAGTTTCTCTCCTGAAGCAGAGTGCAAAGCAGTTAGAATGAGAGGCCTTACTTCTATATTCAGGGACATGGGTCATTTGCTAGCATGTAAACTCTAGTGGGGCGCTCACACCAAACATGAGTAAAAGTATCTACCCACAAAATTTGCATGTATCTAGATGCGTGAATGAATAGTATTTACTTGCTTCATTTGTGCGAATGATTTGCTGTATTCACGCGATTCGCAATAGCCGTTTATTCCACAATTTCCACAGTTTGCCAGATAATCTGACCTCCCCACTCACTTTCCTCCTGGCAAGCTCCTTTCTATTCCTGTTTTTATTTTTAAAAAACGCTGTGGATACGAGAGAGGGGGAGTCTCCATCAAACACGTTCAGCAGATTGTTGCTTTGTTATTGTTGTGGAAGGCCCGCAACCATATAAGATGTAGGTGCTGCCATGTCTGGGCCGTTTCCAGTGGTATTTTCGGGTTACCTGAACCCAATTTGACGACATGTTGGTGAGGGTCGGTGCAAGGATATACCTCCCGGATACCAATTACAGGTGCTCTATCCCAGTTGCAGAGTGCCTGTCCATTTGTCTTCTGTGATTAAAAGGATTTGTGTAGATATTTTTACACCAGTAAACAACTTCCAGTCCATTTTCATACGTCACTCAGGAAACTGTGCTGATTGGTTGTTGCGCTTAAATTGAGATATTTTCAACTCTTGCGAATTCGCGTCTGCTCAATTTGCGCCGCCAGAATACTATGAGCATCTAATCGTGACTTTGCAGCGACTTAACATGTAACTCATACGCATAAATGATTTTACTCACCCTTGGTGTGAGCGCCTCATAAGAAGTGGTGCCCATGGATAATACATTTAGATAGCAAATCACTGATATTGGCCATGTGAGGGCTGATTTGCAGCA